TGACACTTCTTTTGCTGCCTCTTTTCCAGGCTCACAGCCCCACACTGTTCTCTAAATGCACAAGCAAGTGCCTACCTCAGGACCTTTGCACTTGCCTTTCCTCCGTTAGGCACTCTTCCTGGGTCTCACAGCCTGCTCCCAGGCTCAGTTGAGGTTTCACCAGAGGCCTTCCAGAGGCTTTCCTGTGTGCCTCTCTGAAAGATAGCTTTCCCCCTCCCCCTCTGACTCCTTGCCCCACTGTGCTTGTCTGAGCCCCCACACTGTCTGGCAGCACATTATATGTCATTCTCTGTCCCTGGCACATAAGTTATGAGGGCTGGGACTTTGCCTTCTTCCCCACTGTAGCCCTGTTGATTAACACAATGTATGTAGTGAACAGTTGGGAGTTGTAGTGAACAGTTGGGAGTTGTCTGCTGAATACCACAGAAAGGGGGGTTAAGGAAACTACCTGAGAGCTCAGGAAGGATGAGTACAGAGGCCTGGGTGAAATGGGAGAGTACAACCCAGGCAGGCCAGGACCATAAAAAGCCAGAGCAGCTGCAGCCTGAAGAAGGTGAGCAATGTGAGGTGAGGCACAGTGGTCTGCAATGGACCCCACAGTGCAAGGGTGCAGGCCTTCAGCTCACAGGAGCAGAGAGGAACCACTGTACGACTCTAGGCAGAATACTAACCTGATCAGACCAGTGAAACAAGCTTGCGGCAGCCAGTGTCCCTGTACCACATACAGGAGCACATTCTTCCATCCCAGTTAAACACCATCACAGTAGCAAATTCCACAGAGTATAACAAAGTGAGAGGATATAGCGTGGCCTTCCCAAGGCCTAGAATTAACATGTGAGCTAGATATGGTGGCACATGCCTATAAGCCCAGCACACAGGTGGCTAAGGAGTTCAAGTCTAGCCTGGGCTACATAGCGAGTAGGGACAGTGGCTTTGGAGCATTGTGACAAAGAATATTTCTTGGTTTCATCTGACATCAAGACCTGGAACCAAGTGGCTGTCAGGGCCTGCTGTCCTGACTTCTGGCTGTCATCAGGAGCGGGAGGAGTGGTCAGAAGAGCTGATCTGGAGGATGGAAGGGACACCCGATACCTTGTAACTAGCATGCTTGGCCCTTGCTGACTGCTCTGTATGGCTCTGTAAATCTTTGGAGAAGGAAACGTGGAAGAACAAGTTCTGAGGTTCTGCCGGCTCTCTTGGGTCTTGAACCTCAGACTCCTTCATCCCCCATGGACCATGCATGACTCTGGGCACAAACAGAATTGCTTGTCTCTAGATAACAGAGCTCCATGTATAGACCTCCAGGCTCCCATGGGAGGTACATGTGAGGCCTTGAAGTTCCCATATCTGTAACAGAAGGCCCCTAGGATTGTCTGAGATTTCTTCCCCACTGTCCCCTAACTTGAGGGGTGAGACCAACCTCCAGGAGAACAGCAAGGACTTGTTTTGTCATGGCCACTGGCAATCCTGACTTCCTGTTTCTTTTTTGTGTTTCTGTCTCAGATATTCTCCCAGGAGTACATCAACCTCTTGCTGTCCATGTATTTCTTCGTGCTGGGAATCCTGGCCCTGTCCCACACCATCAGGTCAGAGGCGTCTCTCTCCAACACTTGAAACAGCTTTCTCAGGAGCCAGTACAGGGTCTTAGCTGTGAACATTACCTTTGTTGTCATTCAGATCCTGGTTTGAATCCTGGCTATAAAGCCCAAAGGAATCTTTCCCTTGTGTCACAGTGTAGGTGATCTCTCAGGGCCACAGGTTCCTTATCGGAACTTATAAGAATATCTAGTGGCTATTCCCTACCATTACTGTTGTTGGGAGCATTTTTTTGTGAAGTAATGTCCATTAACTGTCACAGTGCTGGGATGAGTAATCCAGTACTGTCAGGTGCTGTGGCCTGCCAGGCACTCGTCTCATCTCCTGAGCACTGTCTTTTTAGGAGAGGCACTGGAGAGAGGTGCTAGGAGTGGGGGTTCCTGGAATCTGACTGCCTGACCTTGGAATCCAGACTGCCACTTAATAGCCCCATGACCTTGGGCAAGTTCCTTAATATCTTTGGCCTCAATTTTGTCACAAACATGGAGGAAAATAATAGTACTTTCCTCATGGGGTTGTGTAGAAAGTTTTTAGCCTAGTGTCTCATACTTCATGTATTCGATAGCTATTAACTTTGGTGGTAGAGGTGGTAGTGGTAGTAGTATCTGTGTTAACCTGCCAGTTAACCTTATATGGTTAGCTTTTGCTTTCATTCTGGGAAAACTGAAGCTCAGAGAAGTTAAGAAATTTGCTTAGATCATACAGCTGATAAGCAACAGAGCCAGGATTCAAACCTCAGTCTTTGTGACCCCAGAGCCCATCTTCCCACTGCCACCCTGCTCAGATTACCATACGCTCATGTCAGTTCAGGGGTAATGTGTAACTGAAACCAGTGTTCCTTGGGATGGGGCTGTCCCTGGCACCCTGTACTGCTAGGGCTATCCCGTGATCCTGTGCATAGCAAACACCTTGCATCATTATCTCAGCTCCACATGGAAGTTGTACCCCAGCTGTACCTGCAAAGATAGCCTACAACATTTGCATCTGCCCCCTTGTGGGTGGTACAACCTCGGGCTGAGGGCCACTGATAAGACTAAGAGCTACCAGTAGTGCAGGAAAAGTTCTCAGAAGAAAGGAATTGGATGTGAGCTCAGCTCTGAAGGGTGGGAAGCCAGGAAGAAATGCAGAAGAGAGTGAGACCAGGCTGGGAGCTGGAAGAGCTGCACAGGTCACTGTTGGGGTCTTCCCAGAGCCGCCAGACAGGTAGAGAGAAAGAGCAGGCTCTGCCTCCAAAGCAGCAAATGCCAAGGTGAGTGTGGCCTCGTTCCCTAGGCACTCTGGCAGGACAGTGGCTTGAGAGGTAGCCTGGGGACAGGCCTGGCTCTGCAGTTTTGTAATCTGCATCAGTTACTCAAGGTCTTTGGGCATCAGGATTGTTTGTTTGTTTGTTTTGAGACAGGTTCTCCATGTGCAGTTCAGGCTGGCCTTGAGCTCACTTTGTAACCTAGGCTGGTCTGGAACTCACAACTATCCTCCTGCGTCAGCCTCCCGAGTACTGGGATTATAGGCGTGTGCCACCACGCCCAGCTGGGTATCAGTTTTTCTACCTATGAAATGAAGAGACTGCAAAATCTCCTCCCAGCAGTGTGGAGAGGATCAGCCAAGCCGCGTGCCTAGAGCCAGAGCACATGTGGGCGGTGCCCCTGCCCCAGGTGGCAAATCTGGGCTCCAGCTCTGGGCTTTTGTGGAATTCAGTGTTGCCTTCTCCTACACTGACCCTTCATTAACAAAATCTTACTATGCCAACCAGGGGTGCCCACTACCACTGTCTGCCTGGGTGGGGCTGGGCACAGCCACTTTCAAGCACTGGCTCCCATCTTTTCCCACGCTGATACAGACCTTCTCAAAGCAAGTCCATCCTACTCCAGCATCTGGGAAACCCCCAGTCCCCACAACCCAGCCTCACCACAGAGAGAATCCAATGTATTTTGAAAGCCACTGTTAAGTCATGTGCTGAGAAATTATTATTTCACTTTATCTCAACAACCCTGCAAGAGAGAACTTAAACCAAGTGTCGTAGTACACACCTATAATCTCAGCACTGGGGAAGCTGAGGCAGGAGGATCGCCCAAAGTTTGAGGCCAGCCTGGGCTACATAATCAGTTCAGGGCCAGCCTGAACTACATAGTGAGACCCTGTTTCAAAAAACAAAAACAAAAAAAGAATGAGAGATTTTCATCCAACTGCCTGATAGAGGGACTTTAAACCTCTATTGTTTTTATACCAAACTTTTTTTTTTTTTTTTTTTTTTTTGTCTTTTGAGACAGGATCTCGCTATGCAGTTTAGGCTGCCCTAGAGCTCACTTTGTAGCCCAGGCTGGCCTCGAACTTGCAACAATCCTCCTGCCTCAGCCTCCCAAGTGCTGGGATTACAGGCACACGCCACCACGCCTGGTTCAAACTTTTTTATTCTATTTAAAATAGCTGATGGACATTGTCCAGATTTCTCATATATTAGCCAAGAAACAGTTACTCCTCTGTCTTCAATTCACAGAAGACATTTTTTTTTTGTAAGCTGGAAATTAAATTTAGGACCCGTGCTTGCCAGGCAGGCACTGTGCTGCTGAGCTGCATCCCTGGCCCACAGAAGACATTTATAAATATTACCAACAAAAAATAAAATTACAGTGGGCTGGGGGGTACAGGTCAGTGTTAAAGCACATGCTTAGCAAGCATTAGGCCCTAGGTTCATTCAGTCCCTAGCACCAGAAGAAGAAAAAGGAAAGAAAACCAACAGCAGCTAAAAGCATACATGATAAAATTAGTCAATGACTAGAAACTTTTCTTAGTAAAATTTAGAGCAATAAAATTTGACCTGAGAAATTTAGATCTTCTAAAAATAATAGGGGGCTGGGGATTTAGCTCAACGGCAAAAGCGCCTGCCTGGCAAGCGCAAGGTCGTGAGTTTGGTTCCCGGTACCGGAGAAAAACCAAAAAAAAAATAAAAATAAAAATAAAAATAATAGATGTGGGCAGAGGGGTGACCATACAGGGTCAAAGTTGTCCACTGAAAAGCTAGACAGGGACCAAAAACTGTCTGATGAATGAAATAGTTGTAAAATTTACATGGAAAAGAACTAAATTAAAATAATTTTAGTACCCAGGCATGGTGGCACACACCTGTAATGCCAGCTCTCAAGAGGCTGAGACAGGAGGCCAGCCTGAGCTATATAGCGAAACCTTGTCTCAAGCCAAAATAACAATAATTATTATAATAATTATTACTATTTTAGTAAAGGGGGATAATTTAATTATGTCTTTTAGAGAGCTGACCCAAAAATTAAATTGACTCCTCTGAAATTTTTGTTTCGTTTTGGTTTTCATTTTTTGAGACAGAGTCTCACTGTGTAATCCAGGCTGGCTTTGAGCTCACAACAGTACACCTGCCTCAGCCTCCTGAGTGCTGGGACTCAGGCGTGTACCACTATGCCAGCCCAACTCTTCTTCAGTTAAATTGAGTTTTCTTAAATAGTCTCAAAGGATGAAATATTATAAGAATTTCAATGAGCTGTTTATATCCACAAATGTAGAAGCAGGCCTTCCTCAGCAGCATCCATACACAGTCCAAAATTTTGAGACAGGGACATTGAGGCTCAAAAGGGTTATGCAACCACCAGGATTCACAGGTGGTACAGGCAGAGTGAGGTCTCTAGCTTTTGTCTGTCTGACTCCAAAGCCAGTGTTCTTTCCAGTTTGGGCCAAAATGGAGGTGGGGGTGGGTAGGCTCTGTGGTCTCCAGAGAGTTGGCAGAGTGGAGTCCTGGCCAGAGCTGCAGGTGCTGAGCTGTCAGCCAGGTCAGCCCAGGATGAACTCTTCTAGGGTCCCCCTAGTTCCTTCTGCCTGCCCCACTCTACCACCATCCTCCTGAGCCCTCAAGTGTCTTTGAAAACAGACCACAGGTCAGGTCATGGGGGAGAGCAGGGGCTGTGCTCTGAGCTCATACCTCTCTGATGTCACATGATTGTGAGATCAGGCTGTAAAGGGATGCGCCGTGAGAGAGGTCTTCAACGTTCCTCCTGCAAGTCCAATGCTAGGCAAGGTGTCTTACCTGTCTGCTTTCATGCCCTCACAAAACCCTTTGAGACGGCTGGTATTGTTATCCCTGCACACAGGTGAGGAGACTGAAGCTCAGGGAGGTGCTGCCACTGAAGTGGCCGTCCGAGGCCTATACAGCTGATATGTGGCAAAACCAGGTTTCAGTGTTGGGCTGCTGGGGCTGGTAGCTGCTCCACAGTACTCCCTCTCCACCCCCGCTGACCAGGATGGGCCAAGAGGCCTTGGTTTGCTAATCTTGTTCTGAAGATGGTCTAGAAAAGAATATCTCTGTTCCTTGCCTGGCCTGGAAGTGGGGTGTGCTGCATAACCAGAGAGGATGCTTCTAAAGATGAGACCAAGCCAGTTCTAAGCAACAGAGGCTTGGTGCAAGGAGTGAATGTGAGGATGATCTGCCTTCAGGACTGGGAGTCATCTGGCTGACCAATTCCAGCTGCATTTGTAAAATCGCATCCCTGTCAGTAGAACTCATGGAGTTGAGTGGGGGTGACTTGTGAGGTTATCTTATTTGATAGGTCTGGAAAGGAGTCCAGGAATTGCTTCTTCACAAGGGACTTACTTAGGTGGTACATGGGCCAGACTTGGGAATCTCTGACTCCTCAAAACTGTGTTTTATCACCAAAGTTTCTGTTTCTGCTTTGCATTTATTTGATCGTAACGAGGAAGCAGTATGAAATCAGTAGGAGTCCAGAGACCTAGGTCTGAATCTCAGCCCAGATAGCGACTCCTTGTATGAGTTGGGCAAGTCTCCCTGGCCTTCAGTCTCCTCACCTGTGCGGAGGGATAACAGTACCACCTGTCTCAGAGGGTTGTGGGAAGATATGAAAGCAGGCAGTCCTCTAAGGGCCTCTGTTTCCACATCCTTAGACTGGGAACAGTTACACCTACCTGTGAGGGCAGCTGTCAGAGTGCCAGGAGATAACAGCCGTAAATGGGTATTGGTGGCGTTATTAGAGCTATGATTGCTCTTGAGGGCTGTTTGCCAACCTGCTTTGTCTTTCTTTCCAGCCCCTTCATGAATAAGTTTTTTCCAGCCAACTTCCCAAATCAACAGTATCAGCTGCTCTTCACTCAGGGCTCTGGGGAAAACAAGGAAGGTTGGTACTGCCCACTTTCCCCTGTGTCATGTCTAGGGAGTCTTCCCTACCACTCCCCTGTGTCTCTCAAGTACTGGGTTCTCTCCTAGAATAAGTGATGGAAGAGATGGGCCGTGGGATATCATAGCCAGGTTCATAGCCCAGCTCTGCCACAACCTAGACACAGGATACTGGGTGAATGCCTTACCTCTCTGAGCACTGAGTGGTGGTTTGGTTTGGTTTGGTTTGGTTTGGTTTGGTTTGGTTTGGTTTGGTTTGGTTTGGTTTGGTTTGGTTTGGTTTGGGGAAGTACCATCTATAAAGATAATCCAGCGCCTCCTTTATAAGCACAGGTGTTAGGACTTGGAGTAAACAAGTAGAAAGTATTCAGCACGCTGCCTGGCTCATATAAACAGTAGAGTCTGTTACTGAGTTTTTATCATGTTTTTTTAGTGTGATTACTCTCCCACCTAAGATTTGAAAAAAAGAGTCCACTTTTTTTTTTTTAATGAAGACTGTGAGAATCTGAATGGATCCTGGAGTTAACAGTTACAGCATATGGGTTCAAATACTATACCAAGGTTATCAATAGTTTCACCAAATAGAAAATACTCCTTTAGGGTCTGGGGATTTAGCTCAGCGGCACAGTGCCTGCCTGGCAAGCGCAAAGTCGTGAGTTCGGTTCCCGGTACCGGGGGAAAAAAAAAAAAAAAACAGAAAAAGAAAAAGAAAGTATTCCTTTATGCAGAATTCTAGCCGGGTGTGGTGGCACACGGCTGTATTCCCACCACTGAGGAGGCTGAGGCAGGAAAATTTTGAAGCCAGCCTGGGCTATATAGTTTGAGGCCAGCTTGGACTGCATAACTAACTACATAGAGAGACACTGTCCTCAAAAAAGCCCCTAAAATTCTATTGTGAAACGCATGACTTTTTTTTTACATTTTCTTATAGTCTGCCTTGTCCATGTAAAGCACCAATTTTATAACTTTCCTTTGCATCTCTAGTCCACCTGTGCCAAAATAAATGATTGTTCAAAATAAGGCCATACTTGTATATAGTCTTCAGCGTCCCAGGCCCTATCTGTCTCGAGCTCCACCATACTCAGAGGTGGCCCTTGAGACCAGGACGGTGACCATCACTCCCTAGCCCTGCCAGACAAAAGGAGAGAGCAACGGCTCACGGAAACAAGTAAATGTAGCCTTGAGTAAATCGCCCCGTGTCCAGCTAGGAATCTTTAGGGTGGGTCCTCCCAGTCCTTTTCCCTGCCCCCGCCCCGCCCTTTCCGCTACGCCCCTGAAGACGGTCTGGCCAAACCCTCAGGGCTTTAGAGGAGCGGAACTGGTCCCTTTCCTCCACCCGTAAAGTGCGTCTGACTTCCGGTAACGCTACTTCCGGTTGACGACAACGGCCGCGACTTGGTACAGAGCCCTCCTCAAGACGAGATCTTACCGGACCTCTGCCGATTCAACTTTCCCCGTTGGAACAGGCTTCACCTTGGATCATGTTCAAGAAATTTGACGAAAAGGAGAATGTGTCCAATTGCATCCAGTTGAAAACTTCAGTTATAAAGGGTATTAAGAACCAACTGATAGAGCAGTTTCCAGATATTGAGCCATGGCTTAATCAAATCATGCCTAAGAAAGAGCCTGTGAAAATAGTCCGATGCCATGAGCATACAGAAATCCTTACGGTAAATGGTGAATTAATATTTTTTAGACAAAGAAAAGGACCGTTTTATCCAACTCTAAGGTTACTTCACAAATACCCTTTTATCCTGCCACACCAGCAAGTTGATAAAGGAGCCATCAAATTTGTGCTCAGTGGAGCAAATATCATGTGCCCAGGTTTAACTTCTCCGGGAGCAAAGCTTTACCCTGCTGCAGTAGATATGATTGTTGCAGTCATGGCAGAAGGAAAACAACATGCTCTGTGCATTGGAGTCATGAAGATGTCCGGAGAAGACATTGGGAAAATTAACAAAGGAATTGGCATTGAAAATATCCATTATTTAAATGATGGGCTGTGGCACATGAAGACATATAAATGAGACTTAAATGCACTTATGCTAAATAGGGATATTGTGTTGTATATATGTTTGTGTCTTTGTGTGATAGCATGACGACAGTGTGCTGAATAAATTAATAGATCCCTTTTTTAAAAAAAGTTTAAACCACAGTGCTGTTACCACTGAGGACAAAATAGATTGGGGGACAAGCAGCAGTGTGCTGCACTCTGCAATCTGAAAGGAGTGACTGGATTCTGACCCTTGGCAACCTCTACCACCTCACTGGGCTTCTTTATTCACAAGCTTGGAAACAATGGAAAATGGGTCTGCCAGGATGGTTACCAGAGGGCTCCTCATACGGGGAGCGTCAGAGACTCCCTCCTGCCTTTTCCTCAGGCCTCCATGTCTTACTTTTTTCTACTGCTAGTGAACTAGGGCTACCAGCAACCTTCTTGATTCCTGTGGTGGCAAAGTAGGAAGATCACACAATAACTAGGACTTTGCTAAAGATCTTAGCTCAGTGGCAGCTGTGTGCCAGGCATTGTGCTGCTTGCATTATAAGGACCATCTCCCTCCCCCTACAGCCCTGTGAAGGAGGTACTGTTGCCATTTTTATGAACAAGAAAACTGAAGCTCAGAGAGGGAACTGCCTCCCCCAAAGTCACATAGCTCCAAGTGACAGAGCCTATGCCTCTAACACCAAGGACCATCTCCCACTCAACCTGTATTCTCTCTAGACCTGGCTCCTCCTCTAGAAAGTTGGAGGGGTTGGGGGTAGCTCCAATGAGCGCTCTCTGTCCCCATATTCCCTCTAGCCTGGGGCTGAACCCCTGGGCCTGTGGGTCACTGACAGTGTCCACAGCCATGCCCTCCTCCGTCCAGGGGCTGACAGGTGGGAGGGGCAGCCCCGCCCCGGGGAGTGGGCTTACCTGGCCTCTCTGCCCAGAGATCATCAATTATGAATTTGACACTAAGGACCTGGTGTGCCTGGCCCTAAGCAGCATCGTTGGCGTCTGGTACCTGCTGAGGAAGGTAAGTGCCAAACCCTAAGCAGAGGGGAGGCGGAGTGACAGGCATGGTTGGGGCATGGCACACAGGTCTCACTCCTACCTTTCTCCAGCACTGGATTGCCAACAATCTCTTCGGCCTGGCCTTCTCCCTAAATGGCGTGGAACTCCTGCACCTGAACAATGTCAGCACTGGCTGCATCCTGCTGGGTGGACTCTTCATCTATGATGTCTTCTGGGTGAGTCAGACAGGGACATCCAGGATGTCCGGTTTTAGGTGCCCCATCTTCCAATTCTCCTTCCTGTGTGACTGGTCTGGGCCCATCTGTGAAATAGCTGGAGAGAGCAGATTCTCCCCTTTACTGAGAGGCCTCCTGCCCATCCTCGTGTCTCCCTTAGAGTAGCCCTGGCCAGGGTGTTAGTTAGGCCCATGTCTCTGTAGTAAACAAGTGGAGATTCGGGACATTCAGAAAGGGGTAAGATGCTGATGAAGGAGCCCCGCAAGGGCATTGAACTGGAGGACAGAGGCCACCTGTGCTCTGGTGCACACCATTTCTGTGCTAAGGAACCTAGCACACACATACTGAAGCATCACTGAACCTTTCCCATGGCCTCTGGTGGCCTCTCCTCCCCTTGAGGATCCCTTAGAAGTTCCTCTCTTTGTTACCCAGTAGCCACTTTCCCTGAACTCAGTTCTTCCCAGGTCCCTGCCCTGTTCCCTGCACATCTCAGGCAGCAGCAGATTCAGAAGCCCACAGTCAGCAGTGCTTCCCCACTCAGCCCTTCATTTCACGCCAGACTCCTCTTTTCTCTTTCCAGGTGTTTGGCACCAACGTTATGGTAACAGTGGCCAAGTCCTTTGAGGCACCAATAAAATGTGAGTGATCACCTGCACCCACCATGGGAACTCCTTGCCCACCTAGCAGGCCCGTGGTCCCTCTGTGGTCTGCACATCCCCGTTATCTCCTTCCCACATACCTCTTCTCCAGGCTGTCATATATCTCTCCAGCCTGGTTTCCTTTTGTTCACGGATTCATCAGGCACTGTTCATGAGCTACTGCTCTCTGTCCAGGGCTTTGATCACAATGCATTATGGTGTGAATTGAGCAAGAGTGGAACAAGCACAGAGGGGAGGGGTATAAACAGCTTGTGTGAGCCATGAAGGGGCCCCCAAGAAGAAGAGACCTTCATGCTGAGAACTGAAGCGCCCTCCCTGGGACCCCTTGGCACCTGAATATCAGGTGTTCTTGTTGCACATCTATCATGCTGCCTTGATCTTGTTCTTCAGTGTAGCCAGTACTCACAAATATTTTTTAAAAGTCCAGCTACAAGGGCTGGGGCATAGCTCATTGGTAAAGTACTTGCGTAGCATGCAGGAGGCACTGCATTCCGTCCCCAGCACTGCAAAGGAAAAAAGAAGGGAAACTACACAAAAAAAGGGAAAAAGAAAGGTAGAAAGACCTGTGTCCAAATAAAAAGGATTGGAGATGCTGCTCTGTGGTAGGGAACACTGGATTTGATCCCAGTACAGAAAAAGGAGGAGGGGGGCGGAGAAAGAAGAGAGAAAGAAAAAATAAATGAGCATCTTTAAACAGGGGAGAACTTGTGTTCTCTACAGCAAACCCAGAGTTTAACAGCTCAGATGTGTTACCCTCAGTGGAGTCACCAAGAGCCAAAGTTACTTCAGACCTTCCTTCCTACCCCCATTCCCAGCGTGTCTACCTGTCCCTCCGTCCTTAAGTGGGACCTTGGCTCCTCACACAGCCATGTCCAACGGCACAGAGCTGGGACTCTCTCTTATCATGAAGTTATATTTTTCCCCAAGTCCCCCTATAGCCTTCCCTATGTCTCACTGGCCCAAATTGGATCACAGACCTAAGTGCAAACCATGCATCAGCAAGGACAATGGGAAGGAGTTGTCAGCTTAGTGTCAGCCCTGGACCGATCATGACTTACTCCCAGGAGTACCAAGGTTCAGAGCGAGACAGAAAAGTCAGGCATGACAGCAAAGAAGAAAAGGATGGTATCGCAAAGGCAGTGGGCAACCGGAAGTCGACTCGAGTCAGGAGGTAGCTGTTTTTCTTGTGGTCTCACTCTTAAATGTTTCCACCATGAACTGGAGAGGGATTCATGGGCACAGACTGTTCCAGAATTCTGTGATCTCAACTCAGTAACCCCATGGGAAGACAAGTTTCTCCTAGCTTTGGCCTGAATAAATGTGCAGGGCCTGGCCAGGCTCAGTTCACTGCCATCTCTCCAGGGCCTAGGGACAGAGCATATATGGGAGCCCCCAAAGCCAAGCCGGTAAAGAGAGGGAGGACTGCTCAAGAGAGCATAGAGACAGATGCTGCGCAAGCTAGGTAACAGTGATGTCCCACGAGCTTTGATGGGTGAGCCTGGGAGGTTGGGAGTCTGGAGAACCCAGCCAGGTGTCCAGACTCCCTGGATCGTGAACGACCTAAGCGGCACACAGGGCAGGGTGAGTGTTGGAGAGTGTACAGCTTCAACAAAAGGCCCAGGCAGGAAATGCAGTGGGGAGGGAGCTGTGTTAAGGGAGCAGAGGCCAGACTTGGAGAAGCCAAGGATCCCATAGCTAGAAGCTTGGGCACTGCCCAGCAAGCAGCAGATAAGCTGTTGTAAAGCTCAGAACAGGGAAATGATGTTGACTTGCTTGGTTTCTGGTGCTTGAAAGCTGATTTTCTAGATTGGGGAGAAAATTCCCTTCTGTTAGAACTGAAGTGCAGAAGCAAAATAATTAAAAACATACAGTAGCCGGTCCCCTATAATCCCAGCTACTCAGAAGGTGGAGGGACGGGCATCACTTGAGCCAGGAGTTGATGTCCAGCCTGGGAAATACAGTAAGACCATGCCTTAAAAAAATCAAATAAAGGCCAGGCATGGTGGCACATGCCTGTAGTCCCAGCACTCAGGAGGCTGAGGCAAGAGGATCTTTGTGAGTTCGAGACCACCCTGGGCTACAAAGTGAACTCAAGGCCAGCCTGAACTGCCTAGCAAGACCCTGGCTCAAAGACAGACAGATAGATGATAGATAGATAGATAGATAGATAGATAGATAGATAGATAGATAGATGATAAAATATCTACAGGGTCTTGAATCCAAAGCCCTGCCACTTCCTGACTGTGTGATCTCAGGAAGGGGGCTTAACCTCTCTGAAGCTTGGTTTCCACAGCTGTGCAGTGCACGGTAGTCTCTGCTGCTCCAAATTGAGTGGTATCAAGATTGAGCGAGACAGCAGGAATCTGTAAGTCATTGTGCATTGGGCGTTTGAGGCAAGTAGGGGCATCTGGACCATATCAGCGGAGCACAGGCTTCCTGCTCCTCTGTGTACATGCTGCTGCTAGCCAGAGCTGAGCCACGTAACCACCCCAGCTGCAGGAGAAGGCAGGTCTAGGGATCAGGATCGTCCTGATTGGCACACGCACAGACCTCACTGGAACTGTCTCGGAAAGCTACCCCACACTGTCAGGACTGGGTTCAGACCAAACACATGGGGCAGCTGTTAGCCATGTGTGCAAGTCATCTCATCTGCACCTCAACCCCACGGGGCTGCTTCTGTTAGTGTACAAATTTCACAGGTGAGAAAAGTAAGGCAGGTGAGTGACCAGTGCAGTGTCACACATAGCAGGCTTCAGAACCAAGAGCCCACATGGAACTGCTGTCCTGCTCACAAGCCAAATGATAAAATCCAGTTACAAGGCCAATAATGTAGCTCAGTGGCACAAGCGCCTGCCTGGCAAGTGCAAGGTCCTAAGTTCAATTCCCAGTACCAAAAAAAAGAAGAAGAAAAAAAAAAAAAAAAATCCAGTTACATCCATCTCTTGCTGTCCCTGGACACAGGAAGGTGTTTCTACTTGATCTGTATTTGTCCCAACAGATTCTGTAGCAAAGTTTCATGTGAGGGCTGCTCATGGTGGCATACACTTGTAATCCCAGTACTTGGGAGGCTGAGGGAGGAGGATCGTTGCAATTTCGAGACCAGCCTAGGCTACGAAGTGAGCTCAAGGCCAGCCTGAACTGCATAGCGAGACCCTGTCTCAAAAAGACAAAAAAATAAATAAAAAACCACCACCACTACCACCCTCTAAAAAGGTAATTTCACATGAGGGGTTGTAAGTAAGGAGCTTGCTGGCATGTAACCTTTTCTCCTCAACATGAACAAAAAGTGCCCACAACCCTGGCTCAACCTGCTTCACAATAGGGGTACCATCTGTCCACACTGCAGGTATAGGGAGGTGGGAAATTTTTGCATGTCAGCACTGCGTATCTCTTTTCTTTTGTACATACTGAGCTTTAGGATCCCCCCCCACTGAACCAAAGGGCTATATGTAGCTACAGTATAAAGTCACTGAGATTGAATACTATATGAGTTATAGGTCACAAAAGGCAGTAACTGGGCACAGTGCCTGCCTGGGAAGCACAAGGTCCTGAGTTTGATTCCCGGTACCAAAAAAAAAGAAAAGGCAGTAACCTTAGGCCCACGTGACCTCAACTCCTCCCCACTCCAGTCAGCTGTGAATGTGCAGCAGCTAGTGATTGTGAGCCCCATCCCCAGAGAAGAATGTGTGTGAGCGGCAGCGCAGGGTGTGGCTGAGAGTCTGAGGGACTGGGCTCGCTGACTCCCCTGACATGCCTTCCTGCAGTGGTGTTTCCCCAGGATCTGCTGGAGAAGGGCCTCGAAGCAGACAACTTCGCTATGCTGGGACTTGGAGATGTCGTCATTCCAGGTGACTCAGGCGGGAGGGGAGACTATGATACGAGGACTGGAAATGATATTTTCTGGAAGCAGGGGATACTGTGGAGCAGTTGCCTTACCCATTGGGAAAGGGAAAGAGGAAAGGTCAGCCCAGGGTGTGATTGGTGAAGGATTCCACCTCTGTATACATGTGAAGCACCAGTCTTGTGCCAGGCCTTGTGCTGGGCTCTGGATAGACCGCAGTAAGCAAGAGCGCCCTCACTGGGCTTCCAGTCTAGGGAGCTAACAGCACCCAGGACTAACAGCTAAACTTTTCAGTGACAGACACACTGGGGAAAAGCCTATTCCGTGACAGTCTCACACACACACACACACACTCTCTCTCTCATGCACCCAGCTGTCCAGTGTTTCTAAGGGTTACAGATGTCCTGGAACTGCTGTAGTCCTGTGTCATCTTTGTTTTCCCCCACATCCCTGTGCTGAGGGCTCAGGGAGAACACACGCCATGTGGCACTTGTGTGTGTAATCTGAGCAGCAGAGGGCCATGTGCACACCTGCTTTCTGCACAGGAGCTCTGCCTCCAGTCCCAATATGGTGTCACCCTGTGCCTGGCCTTGGACCGCTGAAGTATCTGCAGACCTGCGCAGCCAGGGCAACCTTGTTCTCTTAGTCTCAGGCTCAGTCAGGGATTCAGAGTAGAGCTCATTAAAAGCGAAGTCTTTTCCAGCGTAGGAAGCAATGGCAATTTAACTCCCAAGGTGATGCTTTTGTTCACGATGCTTTCCCCTCAGGATGTGGGTGGGGAAGCAGAGGCTTTCCCTTTTTCCAGTGAGGAAGCACTCCAAGTGGGCTGGGGATTTAGCTCAGCGGCACAGTGCCTGCCTGGCAAGCGTGAGGTCGTGAGTTCGATTCCCAGTACCAGAAAAAAAAAAAAAGGAAGCACTCCGAAGCAAAGGCTCTGGTAGAAATTCACACACTCAAAACCGGCAGGGCTGAGACTCAGACCAGATTTGCCTGGTTGTAAAAAGTTTAGGGGTCTGGGGTGCACCTCGATGGAATGCGTGCTTAGCAGGCAGCAGGCCCTGGGTTCAATCCCTAGCACCAGCAACAACAAAGTAAGGTTGCACTGTAGGAACTGCTCCTACGAGTGTAACGATGACAGAGGCCAGTTGTGACAGCACCCGTCAACAGGCACCTGCTGTGCACTGGCAGCCTCCTGGGGTGGCCGGTAACCGCCGAGGAAACAGGTTTGGAGGAATGGTTCCATTTGCGTGGGGCACAGGCTTGGTTCCAAATTTCTGTGCTGTGAGGCAAGAAGACCCACTTCCCAGGAGAGGGCAGCACCATCAGGTAAAGGAAAGCAAGTCCCCTAACGTACATAGTCATACAGACCCCGCATCCTTGCTGGGTGTAGTTCTGGGCTTGTGTGCCTAGAACATCTGTGCATATCTGTCCCTTCTTACTCCTGAATGTCACCACGTCTTCTGCAAAGTAAACACTGGCCACCTGCGCCCTCACAGAGCTCCAGGGCAGCATGGTGTGAAGACGCGTTGAGCCAGAAGCTCCAGGCAGAACTCTGGCCGGCTGCAGAACAGTGGTAGAATGCAGCCACCAGGGGTCACGGACGTTCCCCACTTTGATTCCAGAAGAGCAGCTGTGGGTCACCCTCTCTCTGCCCAGCTCCCAAGTCTTACCTGAGGACAGACCCATTTCCCTCTTTGAAGTTAATCCTATGAGACTAGGGTGTAGCTTAGAGGTAGTGTGTTCATCTAGCATGCACAAAGCTCTGGGTTTGCTACTCACAAAATGTATGTATGCATGTGCGTTGCCAGTCGCTGCCTCTGACCTTGTAGGACATTTCTGTGAGACTGGGCCTCTGTCCTGTATGAGCCTGAAGACAGGAGAGGGAGACAGACCCGCAAGGATGTGGTATGTGCTGCCTATGAGAGCTGCACTGACTATGTCTTAGGGAATCTTAGGCTTCTGGAGCATCTGGACTTGGTTTTGAAGAGTGAATAAGAGTCCCATGGATAGACAGTTAATTACAGTCTCTCAGTCAGGCAGCTGCCACAGAAGACTTTTTCAAAATCTGTTTAAGCTATTCTTCTAGAAATGCTCCAGTGTGCCCTGTAGTCAGGATAAGGACCCATCTCTTCTCCATGGCCCTTCGGGCCCTGCCAGGCTGATACACCCCAGCATCTCCTCTGGGCGGTGGCCTCTCGGGCCCCTCAGTCATACAATACCCCTAGCCCTCTTTTCTCAGGACCTTTGCACATGTTGTTCCCTCTCCCTGGCAAGTGTCATCTTAGAGAAACCTTCCTTCGTCCCGCCCCAGTCCAGTACACCTTCCATGGTCAGGATGCGCCTTTCACAGTTGGAACCATTGTTGATTTTTGCTAATGTCCTGACAGGCTGCCCCTTTGGCTGAGCTCTGAGCAGTGGATTTGCTTACCCTGTGTTATCAGTGCTTGGCAGGCCAAGACCCAGTGTGGTGCAGTATGGTGCTGAGGTGCCTGTTCAGGGCAGTGTCAGGCCAAAGCAGTGTGCCAGGCTTTCCCCCGATGCAAGCGGAGAACCAGGATTTCTGCTGGCATTTGCCAACGTGGGCCACACCCTGAGACCAGCTGGTTCCTCTGTGACTAGCACCAGGTCGGGGCTGGAACAGGCTCGTGGGTTCACCAGCCTACTCTTCCTGTCCCCGCTGACTCACCGCTCTCCCCGCAGGGATCTTCATTGCCTTGCTGCTGCGCTTTGACATCAGGTGAGTGAGCGAGGCACGGCCCTGGCAGGGCTTCTCCTGGGTTCTCCAGCAGCCTTCACTTTCCCAGAAGAGCTGCCTCAGGGACCAGAACCTCTACCCTCATAGCACCCGGAACCACCTATCTGATCTCATCTGCATTCAGAAGGGCTAAGGGTTCTAAGTGCCTGTAGCCAAAAAAAGTTGAGAATCAGAGGCAGGAGGTTGAACTCTAGGAAGTTCTGGTGGTACTTGCAGTGCTTCCTGTGCCCTTGCCAAGTGACCTGGCCATTCTGAACCTCAGGTTTCTCGTCCTTAAGCCCGTGGCCAGCGGGAGCTACCTGCTCAGGATTGCAGAGAATGGGCTGAGCACAGCCAAGCCCTGGCCAGGGAGCAGCCTCCACCACCCTCACTGGCCAGCCAGGATCAGCTCCGTCCCTGCCCTTTCCTTGCTTGGACTTTTTTTGATCTGTTGTAAAAATGGACCACAAGTGAGAGGAAGTCAGCTTAGGTCCCCACTCAGAGAAGATGGGCCCCAGGACAGCTGGGCTTGCACCTACAGGGCTTCCCATGGCTGTGCCCTTATGTAATGCACTGGCCTCCCTGCCAGGACTCTTCGTTGGATTTTGCTCAATTTTGATGTGGTTTGTGTACTTCTTGCCAAATAATTGCAAAAACTGTATAGTATTGAGAGTGGTAATAAGGATCTCAGCACTAGTGTGGTTGAAGTCCAGCTTAGGAGTCAGGGGTATAGAGCATGTACCTAGCATGCGCAAGGCCCAGGTTCTGTGTCCTGGGCACCACAAAGAGAAACGCAGTCTTTAGGGGAAACACTTTTCCCCACTTGCAGACATCTAGGCTATTTGCATAGTGCCAGTTTGTGCCTCATGGACACACAGGCCTACAGACAGCCTTTGGAAGTCTTGGCTGTTCTGTAAGTAGAGCTGCATCTATCTAAACCAGCCAGCTCTACTCCTGGCCACCTACCCATTAAGACGAAACCCACAGAAGTCCCCAGGCTCTGGTGGCAGGCAGGTTCAGCTCAGGCCCCCAAAGACAGAGCTCTGTCCTGATAGGGGCTCACAGGATAAACGAGCCCCTTGGAGTGATTCCAGAATCCATACCACGTTCCCAGAGGGGTGTGGCTGCACCTGAGCCCTCAAAAGAGTTCAGGTCTCAAGGCTTAGAAGCGGCCAGGCATGGAGAGAGGAGGTTAAAAGTACTCATTCATCCCACAGGTGTTAACAGAAGTGGTCATGTGGATGTCATCGTAAGGGGAAGTCGGGTCATGGCAGTGCCATCTTACATATGACGCATGTATTCTGAAGCTGGTCTCGAGGGAGTCACCTCCAGGAAGCCACAGGCACACAGCCAGTATCCACTTAATGGCCACACATGGGCTGCTGAACTGCAGCCGCTGCTTTGAAAGCCGCTGCAGTTCCTGTCTTCCTGTTTCTCCAGACGTGCTCGGCTTCTGTCAGGTTCACTTCAGCTCCTGAGCCTCTCCTCAGACATACTCGATACCACTCTCTGTGGGGATGCTTCGTTTCTCCCCGACGAGCTTTCCAGATGATTTCTATGCTGGCCAAAGTTTTACAGCCCCTGTTGTAATTACAGCATTTGATATTCACAGCCACCCAGAGATGGACTTAGTTTCCCATCTGCAGACGAGTAAACCGAGGCTGAGACAAGGAAGGTGACAGGTCCAGAGTCACAGCCAGGGCTGTAGCAGAGCGCACTCCCACCTCAGACCCCCAGCCCAGCACGCTCCTTCACCCTGCTCGTCCCTGCAGGTTCTTCCCAGCTCCCTCCTCCAAAGGCTGCTGCTGCTGCGCAGGCCCCACATCTAACCCTCCTCTTTCTCCCCGCGCCATCCCCGCAGCTTGAAGAAGAACACCCATACCTACTTCTACACCAGCTTCGCAGCCTACATCTTCGGCCTGGGCCTTACCATCTTCATCATGCACATCTTCAAGCACGCCCAGGTGAGCAGAACATACTTGGTATGTCAGGAAGGCTTCACCACAGAAGCCACTTACAGAGGGTTTATCTGTCACACGCACAAGCAGCTCAGAGGCGGCCACTCCCCATAGCATCAGCGCAACCGTGTCTGATTGTCTTGCCTTTCACTCGAGGTTACATGGTGGCTGCCAGTGCTCCAGGTGAAACAGGCACATCAGTGGCAAGAAGGAGGAGAAAAAAGCACAGAAGTAATTGTCTTCCCTTCATCAAGAATGTAGGAACTTTGCCAGAACCTTCTCAGTAGGTTTTTGCCTGCATCTTAAGGGCCAGGTAGATCAGTGTCACTTGACCACCTGGGTGGAGAAGAGGCTTGGCTTCCAGGCTCAGTAGTCGGGGCAGGTGGAGAGGACGGGCTGGGTACTGGGTGTTCAGCCCAGCATCCCGCACACAGGCAATGAGAGTGTTGGGACCTCCCCTACTTTCCCCTGTATGGCCCAGTGGTGCAAGGCTCTGCCGGCTGGGGCTGGGTGCTGAGCTGCTGGGAGTCAGAGTCATTGTGGCCAGGAAAGGTCAGCAGAAAAGACAGGCTCAGCTCCTCCCTGCAGGAGCTTGTCCCGAACACCCCAGGCCGTCCTTAAGCAGTCCCTGTGAAAGGAGGAATTCGGAGCTCAGCCACATAGCGAGTGTGACCAAGCCTGGGTCCGCATGGAGACCAGACTCGGCCATGAGAGAGGCAGCGTGGGGCAGAGGGAGCCCCCTCCACTCTGTGAGTCGCAGCAGGTTGTTGAAGTGACACTTGCTTTTCCTCATTCGTTAATAAAAACAGAAAAGGACCAGCATGGTAGCCCATGCTGCAGTCCCAGCTGCTCAGAAGGTTGAGGCAAGAGGATTGTGTATTCAAGTCCAGCCTGGACAACTTAGCAAGAACTTGTCTCAGAACTGGGTTAAAAGCTTAATGTGGTAGTGCATGCCTGTAATCCCAGTCTAGGAGGCTGAGTCAGGAAGATCCTAAATCCACACCTAGCCTGGGCAGTTTAGCAACTTACACCCTGTCTCATATTCTCAAAATTTAAAAAAAAAATTTTTGGTAAAGGGTGAGGTAAATAACAGCCACTTTAGGGTGATTCGAGGATAAAAGAAATTAATATAAGCACCCTGAAGTAGATCTGACCCAGTTAGTATTACCTGTCCTTAAAGTACATGGCCTTCCCCATAAACAGTTTCACTTTCTATGGTTTTGGTTACTCAGTCCAAAATTTTTTTCTTTACTATTTTTTTCTTTTCCCTTTTTTTCTTTTTTGTTTGTTTGGTTTTGGTTTTTGGGAAGGCAGTTATCACTGTGATTCAGGCTGGCTTTGAACTCACTATGTAGCCCAGGTTGGCCTCAAGCTCGCAGCAGTCCTCCTGCCTCAGGCTTCTGTGTGCTGGGATTACAGGCATGTGCCACCACATCAGACCTCTTTGTGTTTGGTTTGTTTTGTTTATTGTGCTACTAGGGAGTGAACCCAGGGCCTTTACAATGGGCTACATCCCCACCCCCCCTTTTTTTTTTTTGAGAGGGTCTTACTAAGTTGCCCAGACTGGGCTCCAACTTGACAGTCCTCGTGCTTCAGCATCCTAGAGTGCTGGGATGACAGTTACGTGCCACCATGCCCCGTGGGGAACTTCCTTTAAATTAATCACAAGAGCCAGGCGTGGTGGTGACATGAGGCTGAGACAGCCTGAACTATGTAGCAAGACCTTGTCTCAAAAACAGAAAAGAAAAGAAAATACAAACTGAGAGGCAGAAATACAGAATTTCTTATTTTAAAAAATCACAAGAGCTGTTTGTTGATTGCCCTGTGATAAATAAACCTTTACAGAACATCCAAGCCCCCTAGCTCATAGGTAGAAAAACCAAAAACCCTAGCAGAACCACCTGTCAGTTCTGCTTCAAGCACCCTGGGGTAGCACCATTCGAGTGTGAGGTGAATTTGGCGAGAGACACAAGAGTTCCTGGGGTGAGGAACTACACTAGTTTAGGGCTGAGGTCTCTGCAGCTCAGAGCCATTCTCCAGGCAGCCGCCAGGTGGCAGGCTTGCCTGCGTCCCTCGACTTGGAGGATCCCGGGTCCCAGCTCCAAGCCTGACCTGCATAGAGCAGGGCGAGGTGGATGGTGCTCTCCCTTGTGGGGCGCTGCAGCCCTGGGAGAAAAGGAGACTGGTAGGTCACACAGCGATTCAGGATGGGCCCTGCTAGAGCCCTGGACTCTGGACTCCTGAATGCTGGCCTCAGCAGCCCCAGTCATCCAAGTGGGCCTCATTGAAAGTCCTCCTCAGGAGAAGGGACCCAACATATAAGGGTCCCAGTGTCAGCACTCTTCTAGTAACAGTCACCTCTGTGCCCTGTCTCAGCCTCTTTGAGGAACTGCTCCAAGCCAGGCCCCTTACAACAGCCCTTAGAAATGACCAAGGAACCAAGCATGATGGTGCATGCCTGTAATCCCAGCACTTGGGAGGCTGAGGCAGGAGGATCACTGCAAGTTCAAGACCAGCCTGGGCTACAAAGTGAGCTTAAGGCCAACCTGAACTGCATACTGAGACCCTGTCTCAAAAAAAAAAAAGAAGAAAAGAATAAAAAAGAGAACCAAGGATAGAGTCCTCACATAGAGGAAGCAGTGAGCTCCAAGAAGGAAGTAGTATAGCCATGGTCATAGAGCAAAGCCAAGTTCCAGTGGAAATGCAGAGTCCTGAGACGTGTTGCATTGCCCTAAGCCATACATCCTGCCACCTCCTTGGCACTGACTTTCTGTGGCGAGGGACCGTGATGCCTTGTGAAGAAATTAAATAATAACAGTGTATATCCCACTGCCTCCCAAAGGCACCCTTCCCGAGCTGAGCCCCTGGAGCCCCTTGGTGGCTGCTCCTCTGGAGAAGTGAGGCAAGCTGCAAGGGGAGCCCTGAACTCCTGTCCCCTCCCTGGAGGCCCACCCTGTGCCCACCCTGGCTTTGTGTAAAAGCAAAGCTGGGTCCAAGTCCTGACCAACTGTGCAATTTGGGGCAAGTTCTTCTCTCTCTGATCCTGTTTCCTCATCTGTTAAATGAGCCTGAAGGGGCTTGTGTATGTATGTGTGAGTGTGTGTGTGTCGCAGGAGGTTGGACCTAGAGCATTGCTCAGTCTACCACTGAGCTATACCTAGCTCCCCCTTTTTCTAGAGTCTTCATTTGAAAGCCTTTTTTTTTTTTTTTTTTCCCCGTCTTTATGGATCTTGCTATGCAGTTTAGGCTGGCCTTGAGCTCACTTTGTAGCCAGGCTGATCTCAAACTTACAACGATCCTCCTGCCTCAGCCTCCCAAGTGCTGGGATCACAGGTGTGCGCCACCATGCCCAGCTTGAAATCTTTCTCTTTTTTTGTGCTGGGAATCAAACTTAGGACCTTGCGCTTGTTAGGCAGGCGCTTTTGCTGCTGAGCTATATCCCCAGCCCGAAATCTTAAATTACATGTATTCAAGTCGTTCTTCAAGGGTTATGTATTTTCCTTCAGGTACTATCTTGGTTCCTTCTCATAAGTTTTGGTATGGGTCATTGTTTTATTTTGTTTTTTCCAGTACTAGGGATGGAACGCAAGGCCTTCCCAATGAGCTATGTCCTTAGCCCTTACAATTTTTTAAGACAAGGACTTACTAGGTCCCTAAATTGCCCAGGTTGGCCTCAAAGTTGCCATTGTCCTGCCTCAGCCTCCCAGGTGCTGGGATTACAGGCCCCCATCCCCACACCCAGCTTTATTGTTTTGTTGTTGTTGGTTTTTGTTTTTGTTTTATTTTCTTGACCTAAAGCCTAGGTGGTGGTAGTGAACTTGTACCCCACATGCCACAGCAGGCTGTTTGTTACCACTAAAAGCTCTAGCACACCCATAATTCCAGCACTTGGGAGGTTGAGGCAGGAGAATTGTTGCAAGTTCGAGACCAGCCTGGGCTACAGAATGAGCTCAAGGCCAGCCTGAATTGCATAGCGAGACCCTGTCTCAAAAAGACAATCAATCAGTCAGTCAACAAACAAATAAATAAAAGTTCTAACAGGTTCACCATCACTGGTCTAGAGCATAGCAAAGATCTGGTCCCAGTGGAAAAAGTACAGCTGCCGGGGGTCAAATCCTAGCTCACCCACTTAAGACACCCTGTATGACCTCTGCAAGTTAGTTCCCCTTTCCATGCCTCAGGGGTATCATCTATAGAACCCAGATCCTAATATTTTAGGCAGTACTATACAATAATAATCTTTATAAAGCAGTGTGGTTCATTCAGGTAGGCACCAAATGGTCTGAAGACCAGGCTTTGGTGTGAATAGGAAAGGTAGATGTGTGCGCTGGCCACAGGCTGGCTTCCTCGCTAAGAATGACATCTCTTTCCCCTATGTCGGTGGTCACTTGGTGAATACCCACAAAGAAGCACTTTTTTTTTTTAAAGAAGCAGTCTTAAAAAAAAAAAAAGAAGCAGTCTTGCAGTATTTTTTACCAGCACTCACTAGCTGCTGGCAGCAGTGATCAAGACAGCTGAACCCTGCCCTGACTGCATGTGCCACCCACCAGCCTCCCCTGGTGCAGGAGTGTCCTTTTCAAGCTGCTGGGAATGCTGGGAGCAGGTTAGAGGGGGCTCCAAGAGCGTGCCCCAAGAAGTTCCCCACAGAAATGACAGCAGAGCCAGGCGTAGTGGCGCACGCCTGTAATCCCAGCACTCAGGAGGCTGAGGCAGGAGGATCATTGTGAGTTCAAGACCAGCCTGGGCTACAAAGTGAGTTCAAGGCCAGCCTGTACTGCATAGTGAGACCCTGTCTCAAAAAAGACAGCAGAGCTGAGGCAGGAGGAGGATGAAACCAGGCAGGAGAACGAGAAGGTGGGGCAGCAGTATCTCCTGGAGCATTTGCTGGCCTGCAAGTGTCCTGCCCCACCCTCAGCCACAGGCCTCTGCATTTTGGTTTGGTTTGGTTTGGTTTGGTTTGGTTTTGTCTTTTGAGACAGGGTCTCACTGTGCGGTTCAGGCTGGCCTTAAGCTCACTTTGTAGGCCAGGCTGGTCTCGAACTCGCAGTGATCCTCCTACCTCAGCCTCCCAAGTGTTGGAATTATAGGCATGCACCACCATGCCTGGCAGCCTCTGCAAATAAGACCACCTGGCTGGTGAGTCTGGTGTCCAGGTGATTCAGATGCTGCAGGCAGAGTTCTGGAAACAGTGGAGGCCATGTGGCCTTAGGTTCGGGTTAGAAATACAAATGGATTGTTGATTTGTTGGTATTATTCTTTTTTTTTTTTTTTTTTTTTTTAGCGTCTTTTTTTTTTTTTTTTTTTTTTTTTTTTTTTTTGGTATTATTCTAAATGGGATTTGGCTATTTGTATTTCTAAGTTTCCTGTGCTCCCTCCCAGGGACAAGAGCCCAAGTCTGGGAGTCAGGTGTGCTGGGCTCTTATCCAGCCACTGAGTTACTCTGTGAACTGGGCCAGAGCTATTCTGCGGTCAAGCCCAGGAGAGGCCTGGGGTGGCTGGGAGTGCCCTGGGCAGGTGCCCTGCCTAGCACTGCCTTACCAGCCTCTGTCCTCCCACAGCCTGCCCTCCTGTACCTGGTTCCCGCCTGCATCGGCTTTCCTGTCCTGGTGGCCCTGGCCAAGGGAGAAGTGACAGAGATGTTCAGGTAAAGCAGGACAGGGCAGACACACACATGGGCCAGGTGCACCTGCGGGCAGCCAGTGGAGCCTGCAGGGTGTTTGTAGACATCTGGAGGACGTCATCATGCCACCTGTGCCACCCCTTGCCCTCTGCCAGCACCTGGTTCCTGGCCTGTGTACACTGGTGGGAACTTTTCTCTGGGCCAGAAACCCGAGGAGGGCAAGGCCTGGGGCTCCCACAGCCCCACCCTGAGTGCCAGCTGGGTCTGCAGAAGGGAACGGCTGGTGTGGGTTGCTCTCCAGGTGACCTGCTCCTGGCCCTGGGTGCTGCCCGCAGGTACCTGGAGGCGTGTCTGTGTCCTCTCCCTGCGCCACGCTCACTTGTGAGTAAGGATGGGGGTGTGGGGAGGAAAGTGCCCTCAGAAGTCACGTGTCCGTCCCTGCTCAGCCACCTCTGTGGCCGTAACCATGGCTCAGTGCTTTCTCCCTGTCTGTTTGCTCCAGTCACACACACCATTTCCGCACAGCCATCTCCACGGCTGCCACACCTCGTACACAGTCCCACCCCTACCCCAAGGCCTGCGTGACTCCAGCAGGTGTCTACTCCCTAGCACCACCAGCCCCGCCCGCCTACCAGGGACCTAGAAATAGCTGCCAACTGTGATTAGAGCTGCCCACTCGGGGGCCTTACCCCCCAGCGCCACCTGCCTAGCCTCCAAGTTGCCCCTCAAGCGTCTGTCAGGGCCTCTGGTGCACCTGGCTGCCCCCAGGGCAGCCTGTGACTCACCCTTCCCCGACCTGCCTCTGCCCTCCCTGTCCTGCTAGAGCCTCCCAGCTCCAGCCCGCCGCCCCATAGCCCAGCCTGGAAAAGCCATGCTGTCTCTGAGGCGAATGGGGTGCAGGGTGAACCTGAGGACAGGTCTGGGATAAGTCTGGGAGTGGGTGTGGCATCTGTGCCCTGAGCTTGGCACCTGTCCTCCCCCTCCCTCTGGCTCACCCTGCCCCGCTGCTGCAGGTAGACACTTCAGCCAGAGCACCAGGTGCCCCTGTTACATGGGGGGTGCTTGATTTCCCTAAATGCTGTGGCGCACAAGCTCCTCACCCCCGGCCCCACCCAGGAGCACCTTAGGTAAAGGTGAGAAGCAGGTGGTCTCTCTTTTTGTGTCCTCACTCCCTGATACTTCACCTTACTTTTTGCTTTACTTTCTCTCTTCTTGGCATTCTCCTTTTTTTAAATTCACTCATTATTTTTGAATGAGTAACACATTCACCGTGTTCAAAACTGCACAGCATGGAAAGGAGAGAACTCTGAGCCCAGCCCAAGAGGTCTGCTCTTGCAGACGCTGGGAGCCACCTGTGCTGAAATCCGGACTGTACGCACAGCCCTCATGCTGGCGGGGTTTCTTAAGCCTTTTGTTGCTTGGGTTTCTGTGGTTTTTTACAGGGCTGGGGATCAAACCCAGGGCGTCACAGGGCAAGGGCACACTCCACCTCTGAGCCATGCCCCAGCCCTTTCTTTTTCCACAGAGCACTGTCTTGGAGATGCCTCTGTAGTAGCCACACGGCACCCAGGGCACCTTCTCTGGGCTGCCCGACTGCATGATCACCTGTGGAGCTGCATCTTTTCTTTTTTTCCAAGTAATCCCAGCTCCTTTCCATGAAGTCTGGAAATGCAGAGCTAGGTAAAATAAAATGCTGCTGTCCCTGCTCCTGGGGAAGGAAGTCTCTGTCCTCCTTTAGTCTTTCCCTCTCCATCTCTTTGTTCTATCTCTGTCTCTGTCTCTCACACAGCTACGAGTCCTCAGCGGAAATCCTGCCTCACACCCCGAGGCTCACCCACTTCCCCACAGTCTCGGGCTCCCCCGCCAGCCTGGCCGACTCCATGCAACAGAAGCTAGCCGGGCCTCGTCGCCGGCGCCCACAGAATCCCAGCGCCATGTAATGCCCAGTGGGTGCCCACCTGCCCGCTCCCCCCACTGCCCTGGGCCCAAGGTAGGGCAGACTCTTACTCCAGGAAGGGCAGGGGGCAGCTCCCACAGCACCAGTGCTTGCTGTCCCCAGCCCCATGCCCAGGGAGCAGGGCTGCCCCAGGACCGGTTGGTCCCCAGTGACGTGGGGCTCCACGGAGGGTGGGTATGAGGGGCTGTTCCCTGGGTATGTACAGCCCAGGGCAGGGCGCTTCTTTCCAAGCCTTCCTCTCTTCATCTGTAAGTGGGCACATTGCTGCCTTGGGTTGATCTGGTGAGGAAATGCAGATATTGTCCATGGTACAGTTGCTCAAAAATAAATAAACAAACAAACAAACAACAGTTGCTCAATAAGTGAAGCCCATGATAAGAGCCTGGTGTCCATCTTTGGCCACACCGTGCCACTTGCCAGCAGATTTTGACCCCTGCCTGGGGCAGTGCTGACACTTGCCATGTGCCCCGGGTGGCAGCCCATCTCCAGAGCCTCATCCTGGCTGCCCTTTTCCCATTGTCCAGAAGAAGGTTCAAGAAGTGTAAGGTTGATCCATACAAGCCCAGGCCAACCTCTCCCAGTTGCTGCTGCCCTTACTGCCTTGGCACCACAAGCACAGGAAGCAGGGCCGGTGTGCCTTGTGTACCCAAGGGCTTTCTTGGGGTTATCAGGTGCAGGGGCAGCTCCTCCTCTAAGTGTATTTTTGTTGTTTTGTTTTCTGATCAGTTACGAGGAATCCAGTCCTAAAGATCCAGCAGCAGTGACAGAGTCCAAAGAGGCAACAGAGGCATCAGCATCGAAGGGTCTGGAGAAGAAGGAGAAGTGATGCAGCTGGCGCCTGGCACTGAGACCGACCAGACAGGCGCAGGATGGAGGCATGGGGCAGGGCGGGAAGCTGATGGCTGCTCCGCTCCGGGGCTGGGGGTGGCAGGCAGAATCCCTCCAAGGCCTCTGTCTCCCTCTTGCCTGCCTCTGGCCTTCTCTGCCCCTCCTCAGCCCTGCAGCAAAAGAACCCCCAGCTTCTTCCTTCCCCAGGAGCCAAGTGGGGCACTGGGTGTGATTTTTAGATTTTTGTATTGTGGACTGACTTTGCCTCGTATTAAAGACTCATCCCATGGCCCGCCGCGCTGCTGTGCTCTGGAGCCTGGGAAGCTTCACTGCGTACCTACCCTGGGTCTTGTGCCACATTTATTAGGTCCCACCAGCCCCAACCCAACAACTTGTATGGCTCCCTTCCTGGGTACACACCGCAGTGCCAGGCCATCTTACCCCCAAGAACGCCCGGTGGCACCAGAGCACCCCATGAGCCTGCCTCCCCACCAACCAGCACTGGGAGGCAGGGAGGGTCCTGGGCAGGTGCTCACTGTGCCCTGTTCCCCTTGCATGAGGTGGGGAGAGTACCAGAGGGCTGGCCTATGTTGCTCAGCTGAAGAGGTCCTGGGCTTCTGCTGCCCTGGACATCAAGACCCCTTCTCTTCATTCTGCTGGTGCCTGGGGTACTTCCGAAAATGACTTCTGCGTGGCCAGTTAGCACACAAGGGCTAGGCCCTTAGATTGGGGCGGGGGGGACTGGCCCAGAAGGTGGAGATCCAGGACCAGCTTCCATAAGTTTCCTGGCCTTCAGGAGCACCCCCAGTGGAGAATGCAGGAGCAGGCACCCCTTGCCCATCTGCTCGGATGGGGTCACTGAGGGCCAGGCTTCTGGCCCAGCTGAGGGCTCCCCCACACCGTAGGTTCTAAGGCTGGAAGTATCAGTGGCTTCCATACAGTTTAGGGGTGGCCAAAGGACAAGTAAGATCAGAGCCTTGGGAGTCAGGGTATGATTTTGATCGTCTCACTAGGTGTTGACGTGACCCAAGCATCACTCTCTCCCGCGCTTCGGCTGTAGGAGCCAGCATAAGCCTCCTGTGCACCCGAGGAGGCGGCCCGCCCATGGATGTGAGGCTCCAGTGAGTTCCTGGGGCCTGCGCAGCTGCTCTTTAGACCCCCGTGTGAGGCACTGTGGCTGTATACTGGGCCCCTCAGAGCTAGCTGCCCAGTGTCCGTGGGCCCCGAAGTCAGAAGGAAAGGAAGGCCAAGGACTCTGAAAGGCCTCTCCCAGCCAGAGGGCCCGTTCAGGGGCTTCTCAAATCTCTGCAGATCTCAGCCCCTCCAGGGGAGCTGCGCGCTTCTGGAACAAAGCCCCTCTGAGGGCGGCAGTGGGGCAGGCAGCCCAGGCACACAGTGCGGTTGGCTCTGTGGCCCAGGGCCCACAAAGGCCGCATTGAGTCACCGCCGGCCCCCGGCAGAGGCTGAGGTGGCAGTGGCGCCGGGCGCCTGCCACCTAATGACCGTCCTGGCCTGGCCAGATGTTCCACAGACCTCGGCAACGCCGACCAGGGCCGCCTGGCCAGCCGGCACCGCAGAGGCCACTCCAGTTCCAATTAACCAGCTTCAGCTGAGCAAACAGCGGGCAGCAGGGCCCAGCCTGGGCGGCAGGCCCGGCCAGCAGAGCCTCTGAGTCTAGACTCCAGATGTGAACCGCCACCGCCTGAGTCCCATGGAAATATGGCACCAGGCCGGGCACAGATTGGGTCTTCTGTTGGGAGAGGGTGGGTGTGAGGCAGGGCCCCAGGTGGGCCTGGTGCCAGCCTCACCCTGGGGTGGAGGTAGATACTTGGGAGGTTGCTCTCAAACCCCAGGGATTTGCCCCTGATTTGTTGCATCCATCAGTGCCTCAGTCTTCCCTCGTTGCAACAGATAGTGGGGGGGGGTCCCAAGGGAGAAGCCAGCTGCTAAGAGCTCCAGTGCATTCAGCATGGAACGATACGGGCCTACCGCTATGCTCACATTTTAGAAACATCTAATCTTTGCAACAGCCATTGGAGGTATCAGATGTCATTTTTGGGGCTGGGGATTTAGCTCAGCAGCAAAAGCGCCTGCCTAGCAAGCGCAAGGTCGTGAGTTCGGTTCCCCGTACCAGAGAAAAACCAAAAAAAAAAAAAAATGTCATTTTTACAGATAAGGAGACTGAGGCGGAAGGGCCTTAACTGCCCAGGGTGCTTTTCTTGCAGTGGGGGGGGGGTCCCTTTTTTGTTTTTTGGAGACAGGGTCTCACTAGGAGTTCTAGCTAGCTTTAAACTATATAGTGTATGCTGGCCTCAAATTCATGGTAATTTTCCTGCCTCAGCCTCCAGAGTGCTGTATTACTGCAATGTGTCGCTGCACCCGACTTGGTTTTGGTTTTTGAGACAGGGTCTGGCTATGCCTTGAACTTGCTGCAAACCTCCTGCCTCAGCCTCTTGAGTGCTGAGAATACAGGCATGCACCAGCACACCAGATTCCTAAGGGGCATTTGAATCCAGGGTCCTTGGCTTCCATTTGGGTTTCATTCACTTGTGTGTGACCACAGGATTCTGATTCCTGCCTCCCTTCCTTGGGGGCCGCGTTGGAGACCTGATGGGAGCAGGGCTGGCTTCCCTAGTGTGACTGAGCGCCCAACACTCCTCTGGCCAAAAGTAAGAGCCTCCCCACAAGGCAAGTTCAGCGTTCCAAGGAAAGCCCTGGACCCTCCTTGAGCCTCGCGTTAAAAGATACCAAGACGCTCCAGACAGAACAGGAAAGTCAAATTCCCACTTGAAAAAAAAGCCCACTCACCCCAACCTTTTTTGATGGTTTTTGAGACAAGGTCTGGCTGTTCAGGCTGGCCTTGGACCATCTAGCCCAGGTTGGCCTCAAACTCTTGGTGATCTTCCTGCCTCAGCCTTCCGAGTGCTGGGATTGTACAGACATGTGCCATTATGCCCAGCTCCCAAACTAACATTCCGCTCCGGAGAAAAGCAGCCAAGTAAGTCGAGGTCGAGTCAAGGTGCCACTTCGCGCAGGACAGGTGTCCCAGGTTCTGTCTGCATCCTGAGAGGCAGGGCGTCAGCCAGGCAGGTCCAGGGGCACAGAGTTCGCTGACCTTGCACGTTCAATTCAGTCCCCCCCACTCCCAAGAAAGCAAGGCCGTGGGTCCCACGGAGAGGGTGTTGGGGCGGCCCGCCTCCCCCCACTCCAGGCGCGGCCGCGGGGGCGGGGGAGGCTGCATCCTGCCGGGCGTCAGGAAGGGCCGAGAGCGGGAAGGAAAGCGCCTCCTCCCGCCTCCGCCGCGGCCACACCTGGGCTCTCCAGGCGGGCAGGGGGCG